AACTTACTCTGTAATCATCCCAAACTTCTCCCAGCAACAGTCTGCGAGAGGTCCAGTCTTTCCAGAGGCCTGGAGGAAGACACACATTTACAGCCATGTAGGCAGGCCTGCAGACTTTGGCCATTACTGTGGTCCCTGAAGCAGTTCAGTGACTCAGTTCCAACTCCTTGATCCACACTTTATTGTCAGTTCTGCCTACACAGAAATCCATACAGTGACCTAGAAAAATCTTCTCCGGTACTCAGTAAATGCCATATTCATCCACATCCTGATATAAGGCCCATGATACTCTGACCTAACTGCAAAAACATGTTCTAATATCTGTCCTACAGAGCAACGTCCTGAAGGACATCCGTCTATCCGAAAATAAAATGGGAATTACAACTACCTAAGCTTCTTATAACAGGCCAATAAAGGCAGACCCTAGTGCAGACACAGTAACCTTGTGACTAAGCTACACCCCTCTCTACTACAAACCCAGAGGGCATCCCATCACCCTGAGGGCTCTACAAAAGAAGATCTTTACATCCTTAAATCAGTTTATAAAAACTTGAAGGGGTTTTTGCTCTTTCAAAATCACAGATACCAGTGCAAAACTGTATTGTGCCCATTGTCAATGCTTTTATTTTAACATAGCACTGACAGTATGTGGCAAAAGAATTTAAAAAATTTTTTTAAGTCATTGAAATTGAAGACAAATAAGTAAAAAGTTGCTGGTTGTAGATTATATAATCTTATATATACAAAACCATAAACAGTACATTAAAACCCATCAAAAGTGGTAAATATACTCAGTAAATTTCCAAAATATAAAATTAACATACAAGTATTAATTATGGTTTCATCCACTCAAAACAAACTATCTGATAAAAAAGAGGAAGAAAATATTATTTATAATAGCATTAAAATAATTATTCTTGAGAACAAATTAACCAAGGAGGTAAAAAAAATTTTACAATAAATCAGAGAAGACACAAATTTTAAAATATTTTATGTATATGGATTGAAATAATAAATATTGATAAAGTTCCATGTTTTCCAAAGTGATCTATAAATTCAATAAACTCCCTATTGAAATTCCAGTGGCATTATTTTCACAGTAATGAAAAATACAATTCTAAAATTTACATGAAACTACAATAAATTGGAATAGCCAAAGCAATTTTAAGTAAAAAA